CAAAACATCCACGAAACAAAGAAAGGTCTGTCACAGCCAAAAAATACACTCCAGACACGCCGCTGGCACTAGAGGCACAGCATGGCCGCCTAGTAACGGCCCCGACCACTGCCGCTCGACCTGACTGGAAAAAAACGTCGCAGGAAGCTAGCGAAGTCGTAGCATGTATCGTCACAAACTGAAATGCCCGGTAAACCGTAGGTAGAGAGAGAGAAGAGGACAACAAACGAGGGGCTGTGACAAACTGTTTCGTCTGAGTTTCACCGACTCATCAGGAGGCTGAACCCTCAACAGTCTGCAGAATCCCCTCACTGATTACACTGTAAATGATAATCTACCTTAACCAAAATCAAAGTAGACTATCACTCACCCACACCAGATGGAAAACTCTACAGAYTGTCGGTTCACACCCCATCACAAGCCAGCAAAACATCCACGAAACAAAGAAAGGTCTGTCACAGCCAAAAAATACACTCCAGACACGCCGCTGGCACTAGAGGCACAGCATGGCCATCTAGTAACGGCCCCGACCAATATATATATATATATACACAGCCCCTCGTTTGTTGTCCTCTTCTCCCTCTCTGCCTACGGTTTACCGGGCATTTCTATTTGACGATATATATATATATATATATATATATATATATATATGACGATATATATATATATATGACGATATATATATATATATACGGTTTATCGATCAACTCTGTTTGAATATATATATATATATATATATATATATATATATATATATATATATATATAAATATATATGCAAGAAAGTTGAGCATTAGCGAACTATAGCAATCAAACAGCATCATACGTACATGTCCAGATAGTCTTGACCTCGAACCAACAGCAGCCATGCATCACGAGATTCACCAAATTAGAACACGTCAATAATTCGTAATTGACAATGCTGAAATAGTCTCTCATCATCATCAACGAAGAACACGAGTTGATACCCTATTGGCGCTCGGCGCCCAGACTACTGGTGGCAGATCCTATCTAGCCTAATACTACAATGCCGATGTTGACAACAACAACTCCCTGAAGTACAAGCATATAGCGGACAATGCCGCACGCTTCCAGCACCAGCTATGTCTCTCGTAACACTCACCACCTCGATCCACACCGCACAAATGCCACTTGCACCCAAAGACCACCCTGCGTCACACCCAGCTCACAGCGGAGCAGCTCGGCTATGGCTGCCCGCTACTTCTTGCTCGCCCGTGAGAGCGTGAATGCCAGCCAGCCAGCGGATACCGCAGCATGCAGCTAGCACCCGAATGCTGAATGAGGAGGCAGGCCCTTCCCTATATCGAAGTGGCCTGCCTGCGTCCAGTCCAGGAAGCTTCCAATAGGCCCCGTAGGCAGAGGCCCATACCTCACAATGCAGGCCCAGGGCCCGGTAGTTGCATGTGCCCAACTGCCCACGACCTACAACACGCTTCTGGCCTAGGTTGCCACTCGAATTCATTTGCAGAATGTGGCCTGGGCTTGGGAGCCTTCAACCAACTGGCGCAGCGCCACTGTCTGAATTTCCCCAATGCGGGGTACCCTGAAAAACGAGGCCCTGAGGGCCTGTCGCGCCTGCCTTCACTTAGGGCGGCCGACCTTGTTGCATATAGGGCCCCATGGGGTCTAAGCGGACGTAGCCTCGCATTCCCTCCTCCACATCTTCGTTAGTCCTCTGAGAAGATCAATCCTGACCCATCTGGCGCTTTCCTTTCAATACATCCTTCTCATAGCGGGCAACGATTTGAGGAGCGGTCTGCATCAATTCCTCCCGAGTAAACCATCGGTCCTCCTTCGGATCTGTGTGATGTCTGAAGTGGACACGAAACTGCAGCTTTGGCTTTGGAGGACGTCCCCTTCCCGGAGGCTTCTGAACAAGCATCTCCCTGTGGTCAACGATATCATTGATGTCGACTTCTCCGTCCATGGTTGGGGGCAGCATTGATCGACGAGAGGGAAACTGATCAGTTTCCTTGGACGCAGCGAGCTTAGCGGCGTGAAAGACTCGGTAAATTCTGAGATGACCAGGGATACGGATGACATAAGACGGACCATCAGGATCTGTCCCTACTACCTCTAAAACTTCCCAAGGTCCAAAGTACTGAGGCATGAGTTTGCGGGATATCCTGAACTCCTGTCCCAGTTCTGAAGACTTGATCCAGACTCTATCCCCAACCTGAAATGTAGAAGGGCGGCGGTGTTTATTCTCAGATTCTATCATTGCTGCCTGCGCCTTCTGCATATGCTCTACAGCCTCCTGCATTGTCTGTTCGTAACGATAAGCGAACTCCAAAGTGCCCGGTGCAACAGTTGGCTGGTTATCAAGAAGTAGGAAGTCTCAAGGCAGTCTAGGCCTAAACGTAAGATGTAGACTGTTAGGACTTACCCCGGTAGCGTAGTGTACAGCGTTATTATACAGACTAGCAACAAGAGCAAGCTCCTCGTCCCAGTCCACCAGATTGGGCTTAATGAAATGCCGCAACAGGTGTTGAACGGCGCGGTTCATTTGTTCAGCCTAACCGTTTGCTTCTGGGTGGTTTCCAGAAGTCATTTGCAGTTGAGTTCCCTGTTCAGCTGCAGCGGCCTTCCATAACTCACTTGTAAATCTGACATCCCTGTCACTTACAAATTACAATAGACGTACGCAATCCAAAATCCCTTACCCAGTTCTCCTTCAACAGCTTGATTACATACTCCGTCTTCTCTGTTTCTGGCATGGCTATTAACCTAGCATACTTACTAAACCTATCCACGATGACGAAGATCTGCCTCATCCCACTCTTGCTGGTGACCAGCGTATCAATGAAGTCCATGAACAAGCTTTCACTCGGCCTTTCCGGAATCGGAAGGGGCTTGAGCAGATTGTCTCGTTGACAAACTTGACAAGTTTCCACGTACAACTTAGCATCTTTTAAAATCGTGGGCCACCAGAACCTTTGCAGCAAATTGGCTGCGGGCTTCTTGTACCCAAAATGGCCGGTGGCGTCATGACACTCGCCTAAGAACAGACTGCGCAAAGACTCTTTATCAGGGACACATAAAAGTTTATTCCCTTCCTTCTCGAGAAACAGCAAGCCATTGACCAACTCAAACTCGGATGAAGTTTGTTTATCCTTCGCCTCGAGTCTGCGTATGATCTCAGACATAAACTGGTCCTCTCGATAGGCTTCCACCAAGGATCGAGTGACATCATTCGTAAGATCGTACTAAGTAATCAACGCACCTGAAAAGTCAGGTCTACACGACAAGGCATCAGCAACCTTGTTGTACTCACCCTTGATGTACTGAGGGTCAAAGTCATACTGCTCAATGACTTTTATCCAACGCTTCAATGCGTCAGAGAGTACAGGCTGAGTTCTCATCCATCTCAAGGTCTGATGATCAGTCCTGAGGATGAAGAACCTCCCAAGGAGATAATGTCTCCAATGGGTCAGCGCCTTGAACACCGCATAGAGTTCTTTCTCATAGGTGGACTTAGCCAACTTTTAAGACGACATTTTCTTGGACATGTACTCAACAGGCCTCAACTTCCACCCCTCCTGCTGCACAAGCACGGCGCCAATGCCATATTGGCTAGCATCCGTGGTTACTATAAACGACTTACCAGGATCGGGAAGTTCCAAGACTTCATAATGCGTTAGTGCATGCTTCAGATGTCTGAAAGCAGCCTCGCACTCATCTGTCCACTCCCACGGGGTGTCAAGGCGGGTCAGATCAGTCAAAGGAGCGGCCAGTACGCTATAGTTCTTTACAAAAGTCCGATAGTAGCCTGTCATTCCCAAGAAAGATCTCATCTCAGTCACAGACTGAGGTCATGGCCAATCAGGAATGTTGGCCACCTTCGCGTCATCGGGCTTCAACCCTTCCGCGGAGATCTCATGACCCAAGTACAAGACTCGGGTGCGCCCAAACTCGCACTTCTCACCGTTGATCTTGAACTTGTGCTGTCGCAGAAGACTAAGGACTTTGTCCAAGTGTGCAACATGCTCCTCGACATTCTTACTAAAAATAAGTATGTCATCGAGGTACACGATGACAAACTTATCCAAGTAGTCATGGAATATCCGATTCATAGTGTGCTGAAAGGTGCCAGGAGCATTGCACGGGCCAAAAGATATCACCACAAACTCGTACAGACCGTACCTGGTCTGAAATGTGATTTTGTGTTGATCCTCGGGCCGGATTGCAATCTGATGGTACCCGGACTTCAGATCTATCTTACTGAAGTACCGACACCCTTGCACTCTATCTAACAGATCGTCGATGCGCGGTAGGGGCTCTCTGCTCTTTACAGTGATGGCATTGAGACTCCTATAATCGATGCACATCCTGAGAGTGCCCTCCTTCTTCTTAGGTACGAATAGTACTAGAGATCCGTAAGGAGATACACTCGGCCGGATCCAACCCTTCTCTACGAGTTCCTTGAGTTGGCGGCGAAGCTCATCAAGCTCGCCTGGAGACATCCGATAGATCCTACCCTTCGGAATACTAGACCCTGGGATAATCTCTATCGCGTGGACGACCTCCCTATCAACAACCCCTGTAGGCTCTTCAAATAGATCAGGGTACTTGGCAACTACTCCCTCTATCTCCGGAGGCATTTTCACCGGCTCGCCTGCAACAGAGATATAAACTAAGTACATACCCTCCTTCTGATTTTGCTTGTAATAATTATAGAATGCGGCCGCACACAAGCACCCGTAGGACTCAATCAGACTACTAGCTTTGAACTTGTGTAATCTGGCGGTCCCTCCACCTGGCAAAGTGTGCTTGACCACTTTTCGGTCCCAGTCAAACTGGGGCTGTGCAAYCRAGAGGTAGTACATACCTAACAAGATATCCATGGGGAGATCGTCGCTCACTAGGAATGAGACACGATGCCTYAATTCCCCTCCCRCGTACGGGAACWGRCAMTCAACATCCTGRAGGTAGTYATTWACKACCATGCGCTRTTTGTTGGCACAGGTCGACTCCACAGGTCGACTCAGGCGCTGCACTTGCCCCTGTAAACGCAGCCTCTCAACGCACGCGCGACTAATGAAGTTTCGTGTCGAGCAAGTGTTATAATAGGCCCCGGCCTTGCGGCCGCCTACGGCTATATCGCTGACGAACATCTCACCCTTCGGGGCTTTAGCTAGTGCCGTCCAAGAAGTTAGCGGGTCTAGTCTGGACCACTCCTCTAGCTCCTCTAAGGACTCAAACACATTTATCGAGCAAAGGGTCGATGGGTCTGAATGCGTTTGCGGGACGACAAGGGAATCAGTAGCTTGGGCCATGATGCGAGATGGTGAGGGTGTCTCCACCACCTCGTCCCTAGTAGGAACAACTACTATTCCTACTGGCCTGACGTGTTTCCCGGGGCAGTGTCTGACGAACTGGCAACATTGCTACCTACGGGAGATGAGGATCCTACCGCCTGCCCCATAGTAGGCGGGGTCTAATCGGTGACCTTCTTTTTCCTACATTTGAACTGGTTATGGCTGCATTGACCACAACGAATGCAGGCCTGGTGGTTCCACCGATCTCTCCACACATCCTCGGAAAGACCCGCTTTCTCCCATGGAGGAGCATTGGGGTCAACTTGATTCCTAGACCGGGAGCCCCCCTTGCGTCTACCGGTCCCCTTACCTTTTTGTTGGGTTACGGCAGCGACTACTCCACCCTCTGAAGCATCGTGACCTGCATCTGCACCTACTCCTAACTGGGAGTTGTCGTCCAACTTAATGATTGATCCATCGTGGTCGACAAACATAATGCGGTCCTTGGCTTTCCAATTAGGAGGAAGGGTCTTCTTTTTCCCACCCGTCACTGAGTTATGTCTACGCCCTATTTTTGCCTCTAGGTCTAGGGCCACCTTGCTGAACGAAGGAAAGTTGTGCATACTGATGTTGGCCTCTTTTCCCAACTGGTTCCTGAGAGGCTGAGATAAGCACCTCAAGTACGAAGTCAACAGGACCTGGGGGTCATAGCGCACCCCTGGAACACAGATCAGAAGCTCTACAGCGTCTGTGGCTTCCCTTACTGACTTATACTGCCTCGTGTGCAGTGTCAGGATCGCATTAGTGGCCTTTGGGCCTCCTGAGGATCATGCCATCTCTCTTCCACCATCTTCAGGAAGTCCTCTAATTTCTGAGAGGCTGCCCAAGAGCGGAAGTCATGACTGTGCCCCTGGAGTTGTACTAACCCACTCAACCATCTTGCTGCACTACCCTCTAAGTAGGATGCAGCCACAAGCACTTCTTCGTGTGGCAAGGTGAGCTTACACCTGACATAGACCGGCMCTGCCCTCAACCATGTGTCGAGATCTTCGCCTCTCTTGTCCCCTGTAAAAGGTTTGGGAGCGGCGATGGCCGTCTTCGAAACCCACTGACTTTGTCCCGGTCCCTGCACCAACCCAGGCTGTAGACCCGGTGATACAAGTTGTTGTGCAAGCTGCTGGCCCTGTGTGCCCTGTGGCTGCATAGACTGCGAGACAAAAGATTGCCCACTAATGGCAACCTGTGATGGAACCCGGGGGACCACTGACTGTACTGGAACCTGAACACTAGGTACTGCTGATAGCCCTCCTGAAAGCGGCATGCCCAGGGAAACGATAGCAACCGTCGACGGGGCTACAAATGGGGATACCCCAGTGACCGGCGGGAGAGAAAAGGGAGGATATGGCACGGGCGAGGCACCAGGCCCTGCTGGTGATGGTGCGACCTGAGCGTGGCCTGCCAACACGGCTAGGCTTTGTTGAATGTCCTGAAGGATGGTAGTTTGATGCTCCTGCATCTCAATTACTACTAGCAGGGCCCTCCTAACTACCTTCACATCATCATCCATATGCGTCAGGTCCATCGTCTCTAACTCCTCTATGTCTGTCCCTCTCCGTTGCATCCTGGTTCTTCTTTTAATCATCATCTCTTTTTCCATTTTTTATGTCCTAGAGTCTGCTGTAGCTGTGCCTCTTGCAGGGCTGCCTGCTGGATGGCGGCATCCTCTGGGGTTAACACCGCGGGCTGGCTTGCCATTAAGCCAGTGGACTGACTCATGGTCTGCGCGACCATAGACCCGGCGGTACGTGAACTACCGGCTGGGGAAGTTTGCTGCGCAGAAGTGCTCATGGCTGTGGTAGCCATGGCTGCTGTAGCACCGGCCTCGCTAGCTATTGCCTTGCTGGCCTCGGCTGCTCTAGCTCTCCTCAGCTGCTGCCTCTCCTGCTGCCGGCGGAACAGTTCCCTATCACCCCCCGGTCCTAGGGACACGTGAGTTATCGGGCCTCTAGCTGATCGCAAGATCCTGCGGTCGTCCTCTCCGGTGTCCTCACAGTCGCTCATAGGCTACAACACACCGCCTGCACTAGATCATTAAGGATGCCTACCGCAGCATAGTGCACAGACCAAACTAATTAATGGTGGCTATTTTTGGAACAGACCTCATTTGGGGTCAGCAGATAATTCAGATTCCTACAACTGAAACTATTTTTAGTATGACTAGTCCGCAAACAGAAGCACCAGGAACAATCGAAAGTTCTAACTAATGCTGTCTGTCAGATGTCAATGGCAGTCCATCTAACTAATCAAAAACATAAAAATAGAGTCACTTGTGTGAATAGGACAGCATGGTATTTTCCCGAACTTGTCACCTGGAATCAACCCCTCCCTCCAATCTACACTTGCGTATCTCTTGTCGTCAGCGTCCTGAGCAATCGGGTAGCATGCGTGACTGAAGGTGTGCAATCCGGTCCCACCCTTGTGCCCCAGGTTATCGTCGAGCAAGGCAGCCACAACACTCTTATTTATCCTCGTACGCCGACGAACCTTACGCTCGGTTGATCTGGCTGATCAAGAGGCAATTTAACGTCCGCCCCCAAGTGACATGAGGAACTATTTTACGTCGCAACAGGACGACGATCACAGCCAGATCAGAGCCGAGTCCCCAACCAGAAATGTTTATAGACGGTCTGGTAAGCGTCTCAAGAGGCTGCCACACCCGAGTTAACCTCTATCTGCACAAGCAGCAGAACCAAAGACTTGCAGCGAAGCATGCGTGTACTACACCCATTGGGTTGGCATGGTGACCGTGACCCAGTGTTTCGTCCAGGGCCCTTCAGAAAACAACGCCCTCTTCCCCCTGATGCTCCACAAGAAGTATGCCGACTCTCAAGGTTGAGCGCACTCGACACCTCACGATGAGAGGACTCTCAAGTTGGATCACACAACCTCACGGTAAGAAGTGTTGCAGAGGGTAGATAAGGTTGGGAGTAACGTACCTCAATATTGTTGCCCCCAACCACAGAGATAATCTCAGCAGATGACCCAATGGCAATTGCGATGACCAGTCATTGCTTCGGCACAACCAGCATTATTCACCGTTCCACCTCAGCATCAATCGCACATTAGATAATTCTCATCACACTGTCCAGACCATATTCACTTCACACAGCCTTTCCTGGCGATTCCCTTCACCTCCTGGGTCACCACACACTCGTCTCCACCCTCCTCACTACACACCACTTACGGCCAAACTCGCCCAGCAGACCGCATGTATGTACCGCATAAGGCAAAAGATAAGCGCCATACGAGCGCAATCGAACCACACCTTCGATACCAAATTGCAAGAAAGATGAGCATTAGCGAACTCCAGCAATCAAACAGCATCATACGTATGTTTCCAGATAGTCTTGACCTCGAACCAACAGCAGCCATGCATCACGAGATTCACCAAATTAGAACACACCAATAGTTCGTAATTGACAATGCTGAAATCGTCTCTCATCATCATCAACGAAGAACACGAGTTGATATCCTATTGGCGCTCGGCGCCCAGACTACTGGTGGCAGATCCTATCTAGCCTAATAGTACAATGCCGATGTTGACAACAACAGTTCCCTGAAGTACGAGCATATAGCGGGCAATGCCGCACGCTTCCAGCACCAGGTATGTCTCTCGTAATACTCACAACCTCGATCCACACGCACAGATGCCACTTGCACCCAAAGACCACCATGCGTCACACTAGCTCACAGCGGAGCAGCTCGGCTATGGCTGCCCGCTACTTCTTGCTCGCCCGTGAGAGCGTGAATGCCAACCAGCCAGCGGATAGCGCAGCAGCGCTCGCGCAGCATGCCGAAGGCTGAATGAGGAGGCAGGCCCTTCCCTATATCGAAGTGGCCTGCCTGCGTCCAGTCCAGGAAGCTTCCAGTAGGCCCCGGTAGGCAGAGGCCCAGACCTCACAATGCAGGCCCAGGGCCTGGTAGTTGCATGTGCCCAACTGCCCTTGGCCTGCCCACGGCCTACAGCACGCGTCTGGCCCAGGTTGCCACTTGAATTCATTTGCAGAATGTGGCCTGGGCCTGGGAGCCTTTAACCAACTGGCGCAGTGCAACTGTATGAATTTCCCCAATGCGGGGAACCCTGAAAAACGAGGCCCTGAGGGCCTGTCGCGCCTACCTTCACTTAGGGCGTCCGACCTTGTTGCATATAGGGCCCCGTGGGGGCTAAGCGGGCGTAGCCTCGCATATATATATATATATATATATATATATATATATATATA